TACTGCACAGTTCTCCTATATTTTGAGAATTGTTTGCCCTTTCTTTTTTTTCAATTTTTCTTCTTTTTCTAGCCATTAGAAAGGATTACTTTCTTTACCGTTTCCATTTGATTTACTCTAGGCTTGACAAAATGATTATCCTGGATCCATGACTTCTTTCCTCTAGTCATTGATGACATAAGTTAATGCTGCAACTAAGGAAGTGTAGGATTGTGCAGAAGTAATTTAAGAATAATTACATCTGATCAACTAGCTCAATCATTATAAAAACAGCAAACAGAAGTGACTGTAAACACAATATGTAAGATGAATATAGCACTTTCAAAACCTTTTAATCTTTAACATGATCCATCAGAAAGTGGAACACTTTGTGCTGGTCTTAAACTTTGGAAAATTGATGCAATAAGTGTGAATAACCTACCCAAGGCCACAAAGGTAAACATTATCAGCCAAGATGAAAACAACTCTAAAGTTCAGGCATGAATTCCTCTGTTCAGACTGTAACAAAGCAATAAATCTCGTTCAATATTTGAAAGCCTTTCCCAGCAAGGAAGTTCTTCACAGAATTAGAAGTTTATAATGGCCAATTTGTTATTTCAGCTGGGATTTTTCTTCTATTTTGTCCACTGCTGAGCAATACAAACACTTCCAGAAAGTCCTTAGTGTGACAAACTGTGTGTGTGTGGGCACGTGTGTGTGTACACACAAATACACATGCACTTCAGAAAGACAAAGCCACTTACTTCATTCCGTTAATATAATGGAAAACAGTTTTAAATGCTACACTGTTTTTTCTTCCAAGGTGGACCTACCATAATTTATGATTTGATGACCAGTTTTGCATTTTCATTTACAAGAAGATCTCTCAATTTGTCAAAATCTCTGATGAAAATCATGGCAAAAGAATAGCAGAGACGAACCATAAGTTAGATTCTCAAGTGTGATTCCTTAAAATGAACATGACTAGCCCTCCTAATCTGTAATTTTTCTTCATTAAAGAGCCTTTTAAACTACACTTTTATTTCTCTGACAAAATCCACATCCACTATCATGAGAATTTCTAACCTGTAAAAATTTACTATGGAAAATGTAATGATAGGATCAGTTTGCTACAGTGAACAAAAGAAGTTAAAACCAAAAATAATATTTGTAAAGGTTTGGTGAGGAAGAACAGGATGCGCTTCTTGTGAATTACACTATACTGACTATACTGCAAAGACAATGTGAAATGTAATGGAAGGACTAGGTGAGAGGAAATACAAAAAAATCTCTCACAAGATAAGCACATACAGAAACAACACTTCCACTTCAATTACTTGCCATTTAAGCAACCAACCTGTTCTTGACTCTTTTGAGAACATTTTCCCCATTTCATGCATAACTGAAGAGATCCCAATTTTAATATAATTTCTATCAAATAGTGCCTTTGGAGAACAGAATGACTGAAATCTCAGCCAGAAATATTGAATAGAAAAAGGAAAGACCTGCAATACAAATCTGTAGCTCACAGATAAAATCAATTTAGAATAATGCGCTTTTTTTTTTTTAAGAAAGGCACAATCCTCTGGTAAGTCTGATAACGATTTGAACAGAGAGGGTGACAGTGGTCAAGCAATTCCAGGTGTTTTCATGCCTATGTATGTATTTGTAGTGTATCTGTGTCTATTTCATTCAGCTTCTACTTTCCCTGTGCTCTTCAGTAATCAAGTGTTTGATTTATAAGATGCTACATTAGTGCCAACAGGCACAGAATTGTATAATAAATGCACTCTTCACAAAATATAAAAGCCATGCACTCAGTGAAGAAAGCATAGCTCTTCAGCTAAGTGGCAATCAGTATCTCCCTTTCATTTTTTTAAAATAGCTCTGCTTGGCCACTTCAAGAGTCTCAGCTGCCACAGAAAGTCATACAACTCTAGGCCCTGCTCTGTTTAGAGTCTCTGTTCCATAGCTCACTTCAGGAGTGCGAACAGGATACTTCTTGCTGAACTAGACCGTAAGAAATTTCCTTAGTAGACCAAGTGAAAAAACAAATATGGTAATTTTTCCATTTTAGCAATTAATTTGAAATCAGTTCCATTACAGATGCATCAAGTCATTGGTTCTTGTTTTATCACACGCTTTATAAAGACAGGTTCATTACAACAGCCTTGAAGGGGACAGGCAGTTAGGTTCCCACTGGCCATGCTCTTGAGGAGAAACACCTTCGACGAACTATGGTTCAACAGGACAGGGCTTTTGGAATTCAGAGCTGGGTGTCCCTCAGGGACTAAAGTCACAGAATTAGTGCCAGGTGGCACCAGAGATTTCTTAGGGAATGAAGTTTTGCTTTGTTCTAGAACATGGTTTATAGAAGAGGTGGAGGCACCAGATAATGATTCTTTTATCACTTCATTTGGGATCTTGCCATATAGGTAATTGGGGGCGTTACTCTCCATCATATCTGACCAAGCCCTGTAGCGAACTTCCGCAGCTCCCCAGTAGTGTCTAATAGCAGATTCGGAGCGATGGCCTGTCACTGCCATTATTTCTCTAGGCCCCAGTCCTGCTTCACACAGTAGCTGGATGGTAGTAGTTCGGAGAGAATGATTGGTATACCGTTGAGAGAGTCTGGCTGCCACACTTATCCTGGGCATCATGGTACCTAAGTAGTTCACACCCATCGGTTCTCTTTTGTACCAGACAGGCTGTTCTTGCATTTGCTCTGATGTTAGCTTTAAAGGATGCAGGTAAAAGGCGGGGGGCTCCGGAGGCAACTTAGACAAATAAAGCTCCAAGGAAAAAACAGGACAGTTTGGGTCCCCTGGCATGTCATACATTTTACCCATTTTATGAGGATCTTCTCCATTCTTCCCTTTGCCAGGATACCTAAACATAGCATATCGACGCCCGCTCTTGTCCTTCTCAACAACAAAGGCATCTGGAGCCAGATCTCTTAAAATTTCCCTCCCTCGTTTGGCAAAATGCAACTGCAAATCAAACCACACCTTGTTGACGAGTGCCAGTGGACTGTGCAATCCCAGCACACCAGATTGTTTAATCTTACGCAAGTCCTCAGCGGCTATAGGAGGATGGTGGCGAGTCTCATCCTTTCCCTGCATGCGCAGCATCTTCAGCACGCTCACAAATACCATGTTTGCACTAGCAAACTCTTTGTCCTTCATTAAGCAAATCTGACGATTATAAGGTGGCATTTTGAGATGCCGGTTTAAGCCAGCACGCATTGACTTGTAGCTTGCCACACTGTAGGTATTTCCATCATGATTCCTTATTGTGTAATAAAACTCTCTTAAGATATCATTGAGTTCACTTACTGGGGCCAATTCAAAGCTAGGATCCTTGCCATTTTTGGCCAGCCATTGTTTTAATAGGTTAGCTGCCCAGCCAGTCTGCTTGTGGGTGTTTTTGATGCTCTTAGCATCCTCTTCCTCTTCCTCCAAGCCAAAGAGGACATCCTCGGTGAAGTTAAAATCCGTCTGTGCTGCTTCTACCGCTTCTTTATTTTCTGACGAAGTCTCTTCCTGTTTCAACTGCTTTTCGAAACAATTGATCAAAGTTGTACCATCAAATATGCCACAGGTATACGGCACACAGCGAACTACTTTTTGTTCTGAGAGCTGTGAAGTGCGGAGTAATACATAATATTTTGGATTTTACACAACAAAAAGCAGGTGGCATTAACTGGATTTTTCAAATGATATGGCATGTCAATTCCATACCTCACTAGCCAATTAAAATGCATCAGGTCCTTCTTTATTAACCATGGCATTACACATGCTTTAACTAATTTTGACTGAAAGCAAACCTAGAAAAACACTGTAACAGAAGACTGAAAACCGGAAAGCATCATGTGTCTTTTATTTCCCTCCTCCTTGCTCACCTTCCATTGCTAAATACCACTATCACACACAATCTATTTTTCCAAAGTCTTTTCCGGGTTTCAGGCTCTACCAAAGAAGAAAAATTCCAAAATATGCATTTTATATTGAAAATTAAATTTTAAAACCATACATCTGTCATTCATTCTGGTACTGAATTTCCTATCTATCAAGTACTGACAAATGTTTTAATAGCTATAATCCACAGGTATCTTTGAAGTTCCAAACAACCATTCTTTATGGAATGCCTTAATAAAAAGGTAGAGTGAGGCACAGTTTATGCTCTATAATACTGGCTATCTTTGCCAGACTATTTCTGTGACAGGTGAAAAACAGAATCATGTCCAGTATATTTTCTTCTTGCTTTGAAATACAATTCAGATTTAACTATACCTTGAAATACTATTAAATGTGGAAATTTTGGCCAGAAGAAATTAATTTTATTCCCCCTAATAAAATGGCTTCCAGTTAGCAGCAAGGTACATATGAGGTGCTTTGTGAAATATCTGGATGCAGAAATAAAATTAATTACAAAGTAGTTAAAATAGTTCAATGTCAACCTTTAAAGTTTAAAGCAAGTCAACAAATCTCAGATGAGGAATCCAGAAGTACTGCAAGTTCTCCCTTATCATGAAGTAGTTATTTGTGAAGAAAGTTTCTTTTTCCTTTTTTTTTTTTTTTTAATGACATATGTCAATGAAATATTAGAACCAAAATTCTTATTAACTTCTGGCTTATATGAACTGTGGAAATGAGAGCGCTGCAATAATTTACAGAATATTTGTAGCTTTAAGTTCAAGCCCTTCAGACAGAAACTGGGCAGGGTTTTCTTTTGTATGTTAGCTCTGTTGTATCAGACACGTTTTTAATACGCTCCTGAATTACTAACTCACCTACTTACACAAACGCCATCAGAAAACTTCTGAAAAGATTATCAGAAGCTCATGCTCCAAGTAATACTCTGGATCAGAAGAAGAAGAAAAATACAAATGGACAGAAACTAGAAAGGATGGCACAAAAAAGAAACTAAAATTGTTTCATTATAAGCAATAAAGGTAAAGAAGTTTTCTCCTGTGGATTGTAACTTTAGAATTTTATATAGAAACATAATCAAAAACCTACCTGTGTTGTTCCCTCAGCAGTTCGCTTGTTTGCCGAAGTATCTGCTGGTGGCCTGCTTGTCTGGTTTTCTGAGGGGTCAAGAAATTGTTCATTTGCAGTATCTAATCAGTATCAAATACTGCTATAAATTTGGAGACAATATTCAAAATTGTTTGATGCTAAACATTCAGTATGTGGCACATTTAACATTTTTAAGCCCTAATTTTCAATTGTAAGTATTCAAGCTTGATTATTACCATTTTTCAGAGGGAACAGAAGAAACAGAAAAGCAAAGGCACTTTCCAGCCTAGAAGCAGTATATGTTTCCTTGCTTGAAAGTCTGGCATTGTATTCCAAATATTTTATGAAAAATTCCCTTGCCTAGCTGAGGACAAAGCATAACTCCAACGTCTCCTCCCTCTGTATGTAAACTGACAAAGATATTAAACAAAAAACCAGTGCTGGCCCAAAGCAGTGTTTCAATTCTGGTGAGAAAACTACTATGGTATACACCAAGGCTAAACTGCAGAAAATGAGACGCATCTTTGGACTCACATGCCCTTCCTTTGGTCGCTGTTCCTGATCTGTCACAACCCTTTTTATGTTGCATTAAATCATTATATTAGTTTTAGAGTTAAAAAACCAATACAAAGCATATAACTGTCCAACTCCATGGAAGATATATTTTAACACAGGTAACTTAGAGATGGGAAAATTAAATAAAACTAGTTCTGACATCAAGCTCTACTTGGAGTTCATTTTAACATATTGTGGCAATGAGAAACTTGCAACTCACTTAGAAATCTTGAGGACTTCTTAGAAAAAAATTTTCAAGGTATGCAAAATCAGAAGTGCACAGAATCATCATGGTATGGCCAAAGATGGAGAGAAAGTATATTTTCACTATAAAATAGTTCATCTAGATACTGTATTTGAACATTCATTATCTTCAGAGACTTTATTTTAAATACAATAAATGTACTCGTTTGGAACTTGCTTAATATCCATTTGCCTTTTGTTGCCCCATTTTGTGTACTTTTAAGTGTTGTGAAAATTAAGTTAATGATTGTACTTTCTTTTCAGTATGTCTTTGCTTAGAAAGGCAGCCAGATTATTTTGAGAGGCTATATTAAAAATAAATACCAAGTTGTTCATGGTAGGAGTTTCTGGTTTCATGCTAGGAATGATATAAATCAAGTTCTAAATAAAACAAAACTTACAGAGCCACACTACTGACTCCTTCTAAGGAGAGATGATTTTAAACAATGGCTGAAACATATCTATGATGTATATGATTTTAATCTTGACAATTTCAGCAGAAAGGCAACCCAGAAGTATCTCGGTAAAATACACTAACAAACAAATTTCCACAGAGTGGAGTTTTGTGTTTCCCTTTGACAGCTATTTTCCTTTCCCAGTGTCAACATTCAAGCATAACTTACCAACTCTGGGCGCTGTAACGGCGGGTGGTTCAATAGGAGCTGTACTACTAAAAGCAGAGAGGGGAATCTTCATCTGTAGGGGGGCTCGACTGGTGGTAGCATTATAAAGTCCTGAAGTACCCACTGTGGGCAAAGAAGTCCTTGTGGCCTGGGCAACAGGATGTGCAGTAGAAACAGCCTGTACTGACAATGTTGTGCCTACTGACCCAGCACTAGCTGGAGAGTTCCTTTGAACACTAGGACTGGGCACAGATGGGCTGTTATTTGGTTTCGTTGGGTTAGTTGATGCCAAAGACACTGTAGTTTTGGTAAGGCTACCAACTGTAGATGAGCTTTGTACAGATATAAATTCAACATTGCCTGACTGTTGGTTAGTGACCAAAGTCCCTGTGTGGCCTTGCAGGAGCTGAGGCTGGGATGACACTGCCAGAGGTACATGCAAGATTACGGGCAAAGACTGCAATGAGACAGACACTGACTGAGTGCTGCCACTAGGCACTTGGTTAGTGCCTACAACCGTAGCTGTGTTAGCTGTGGGGAGAACTGTTGTTGTCAAAGAGCTGGTGGAGGTCGCTGGTGTCTGAGGCTTAGGATGTCCACTGACAACTGTCGGAGGAGCAGCAAGACTGGAAGTGGGCACTACACAGAAAAAAAAAAATTAAAAAATTTAAGTACTTAAACCAAGTGGGAAGTTTCACTCCAACAGAACAAATGGAAATGATTTATTATGAGGACAGGACACTGTAACAGATTGTCTGGAGAACTTGTGAATGCTGTATCATTGTCAGTGTTCAAAGTCAGGCTGGACAGGACTTTGAGCAGCCTGATCTAATGAAAGATGTCCTGGCCCATGGCAGGGGGTTTGAACTAGATGATCTTTAAAGGTCCATTCTAACCCAACTGTTCTATGATTCTATGAAAAACGTGGTATATGATTAATCTTTTTTCAAAGACAGTCTATAGGTACTCTTTTTTTTGTTGCACACTGATATTCAATGGCCTAAAGACAGTTAATATTGTATTTCTGTTTGAAGGAACTATATATAAATGGCGAAAGATTAAGAGATACAAAACACATGAAATACAGCGTTTTAAACACTCATTACAGAAATGGTAGAACAACTGGTCCTTCAGAAAACACAAGGAAAGAAAAACTAAGGTAGTTATGAGTAACTTGCCTTGTATAGGTAGGACCTTGTATCCAGAAGGTTCCACTGAAACCAAGGATTAATGTGTCAGAGAAGATAATCACTTTTACACAATAAAATTTCAGGAGTAAATCTAGAGATCAGGAGCGTAATACACTACAGAAAGCCAGTATATGTTTACTATGAGATGATTCTGTGGGAAAGATTCAGCTTTCAATATTAAGTAAACTATTTTTAAAACCAAGGATGGTGTGACTACAATGAATGTAGTTAATGGTGGTTTTGATTCTACATTCCCTGTAAAATTCTAATCTAGGAGTTCCATTTTTCAACTTCATTCTTTTAAGAAATAAGGCTTATAACTTCCTTTGGTTCCCCACTCAACCTCTGTAGCCATTATAGGGGAAGATATCAACATTGCACTATGATCAAGTACAAAAAATGCCCTGTGAACAATGTGTTTCACCTGTCTGCAGCTCAGAGACTGCAAGTTTTGCTGCCATACCCAGCAAGCAGTCTGCCGATTTACCCACATGTTCTAGCTGGCCAAATCAACACATTTTTCCCTTACACGGTAAGCACACTACACAAATGTAAACTGAGAATGTGGCAGGGAGATGAAATAATGATTTTTGATGTCAGAAAACAAATGTCATAAAATCCAGCTTTGGTCTCTTCAGTTACCTAATTAATGGAAAGCAATAAAAATTTTAAGAGGTGTGTTTATAGTCCATAGCAGTTTCTTACCTGCATTCACAGGGGCTTGAAAGGTTGCTGGTGTGCTCTCTCCTGTATTCCTCTTTGACTCCAGCATCTGCCTCACTGTGCCAGCATTTCTGTGGAATCACAGTATCATTAAGGTTGGAAAGGATCTTCAAGATCGTCTAGTCAAACCATTAATCCAGCGCCATCGTCACCACAAACCATGTCCTGAAGCGCCACATCCACATGTTTTTTGAACACTTCCAGAGATGGTGACTCCCCCACCTCCCTGGGCAGCCTGTTCCAATGCTTGACCACCCTCTTGGTGAAGAAATTTTTCCTAATATCCAATCTAAACCTCCCCTGGCGCAACTTGAGGCCATTTCCTCTTGTCCTATCGCTAGTTATTTGGGAGAAGAGACCAACACCCTCCTCGCCACAACCCCCTTTCAGGTAGTTGTAGAGAGCGGTAAGGTCTCCCCTCAGCCTCCTTTTCTCCAGACTAAACAACCCCAGTTCCCTCAGCCGCTCCTCATAAGACTTGTGCTCCAGACCTCTCACCAGCTTCGTTGCCCTTCTCTGGACACGCTCAAGCACCTCAGCATCCTTCTTGTAGTGAGGGACCCAAAACTGAACACAGTATTCAAGGTGTGGCCTCACCAGTGCCGAGTACAGGGGCACGATCACTTCCCTACTCCTGCTGGTCACACTGTTTCTGATACAGGCCAGGACGCTGTTGGCCTTCTTAGCCACCTGGGCACACTGCTGGCTCATATGCAGCCGGCTGTCAACCAGCACCCCCAGGTCCCTTTCTGCCAGGCAGCTCTCCAGTCCCTCTGTCCCAAGCCTGTAGCGTTGCATGGGGTTGTTGTGGCCCAAGTGCAGGACCGGGCACTTGGCATTATTAAACCTCATACAGTTGACCTCTGCCCATTGATCCAGGAGAATGCTGTGGGAGATGCTGTCAAAGGATTTACTAAAGTCCAGGTAGACAACATCCACAGCCTTTCCCTCATCCATTAGGCAGGTCACCTGGTCATAAGTTGGTCAAGCAGGACCTGCCTCTCATGAACTTGTGGTGGCTGGGCCTGATCCCTTGGTTGTCCTGCACATGCCCTGTGAGCACTCTCAGTTAGCGTTTCTCAATGAGCCACATGAAGTATAATTATGAATACTGATGAAAAAAACCCCTATTTTACAGCTATTCTTTTCATTGCAATTTTCTAAACCCATTTGTCTTCTGCTCCCCATGCAAATCAACCTTAGGTATTCCCCTACTAAAAAAAAAAATAAATATGCAGAATTATTTGTAAATTTTCAAGTGCTTGCACCAAGTTTGCCTGTCCTTGAAATTAAACCTCCATTTTTATCCATTATTTTTTAACTGCTGAAACAACACTGATCTCAGTTTACCTATGAATGGATTCAATACTGTCCATTTATGACTTCTGTGAAAGAAAATTGAATTTTACAATTGAAGACCAATGAAGGAAAAAGAGCACTTTAAGTAAAAAAAGAAAATACAGGGATTATCCATTACATTAGGTATCTCAAGTGTCCTATTGTAATTTTTAACATGGTCACAGTGAAGTGGTTTGCTTACCGATATGTCACATTGTTTGTGTTTGCAGTGTCACTTGCTGCTTTCCCTGGAGACAGAGGTGCATTTGATGAATTCTAAAAAAAAAAAAAAAAAAAAAAAAAAGAAAAAAAGAAAAAGTGCCATAACGAAACAACCATAAGTCAGATTGCAAACTTATGCCTTCATTGTATTTAATTTTCACTAATTTCTGTTACTGATATGTATTTTCTGGAACCAATGCTGCAGGAGAACTTGACATGTTTTACAACCCCCCAAAACCTCCTTGATCCTACTTGCCTCCCTCTCCTCCATCCTCCTTTTTTGTAAGTCTCTTGCCTTCAGGTTTTTATAGAATGATAATAAAAATTTCTTCTTGAACATTAATGGACTTCTAGCTTCTACTTCTTCACAGTAATTAATCCAAAATATTCATTCTACACACAGAGAAATACCATTGCTTGTATCCATTCCTCTCCCCACTCCACCCCCAAAATCAAGGTACTGGGATTCACTTTTATTTACTCTGTATTCTTCATATTGAATCAAATTCCATTTACTTACATATAGTTTAAGGTGCTTTCACACTAATAATGCCTAAAGAACCTTCTGTACAAATCAGAATTACATAACAGATGTTAAAAGGCTATTCTTTCATATCACTGCCTTTAACCAAACAAGACAAACCTACTTTGTGAACACCACTGAACAACCAGATCACATCTTTCTGTATATAAAATTTCTTTATTTTTCAACACAGGGTTTAGGCTAACTCAGAAAAACAAATGTAACAGATCTAGTTCTTACTTCCTGTCTTTTCTTCAAGTCCTCCCTGGCTGCTCCAAACCGCTTTGTCAATCTAGCAATTTTAGCCTAAATGGGAAAAAGATGAAAACAAACAAACAAACCCGTAAATATCCTCCCCAAGAACCAAAGAAATTATACAAACTAAGAGATACATAATTAAGACATCAAGTCAAAGTCTGTTTTCATATCAGGGGCAACTATTCTTCCTTGAAACATAGTACAACTATATTACTTCAGAGCAGCAGAAAGACACACGTGTATCACAATCAAGCTATCTTGGAGACAACTGAATTATTTTCCTTCCTATTCACAATCGCACAAACAGAATCCATCCTGCAGAGTTTCATGCAATATTCTGCATGAATGAAAGCAACTGAAAGCGTTTGACTGTCTTAATGCCTTATGTACCAGTCATATCAACAATTGCATGCCTTTTTGCCTTTCATATTATCTACTCCCCCCCTCCATTTATCCTATTTCTGCCTCTCACTGATACACTTCATATCACACACACCTTACTGTCAGCTTTGTTCTACTCTATTTGATGGTCAGGTGTCAGGTTCATTATCTTCTTAAGCACCATTCTTACATCTCATCTTTTATTCCTTGTGCTTCCCTCAATATACTATTTGGTGACCATTCCTTCTGCAATTACCTCAGCATTACAAGATACTAATGTACCCTATCTAGGTTGCAGTTCTGATGGTTGACTTATTCTGGAGGCAGCAGCTGTGCCATTTGTTCTAAGCAGGTACTTTTTGTTTTCTATTTTTGGGGTTTTCTTTTTTTTCTTTTTTTCAAAGAAAGAAGAGTTAAATTATTTTTACAAACTCCTGAAAACACTAGGTTAGCACTAGAAGAACGGAAGTTTTTTAAAAAGTCAGTGAGTTTCATATACCATGATTTCAGAACTTCTTACCTAAAAGGAGCTGGCCCATTGAGAAACCTCACCTCTTTCACATTTTTACAAAGCAACATGACAGGCTACAATTATAGTCTGCCTTTAATTACAGTTATATTTCAATTTCTGTTATCTTTTACAACGTAGAGGTCTTTTGGAGCACCTTGCATAATAAAACCTTGTAAACTTAGATTGCGAGGATATTAACACATTCACAGCCTTATGTGAGGTTATTAATTTGACACTGTAGTTGATGGCTGAAGACAGTGAATACCAAAAGCGCCGTAGCACTTTGTTAACAAAAAGTCAACATAAAATATCTGGGGTGGCAAGGGGGAAGAGTTATATAGTAGGAACTTCAAAACTGTGATGTTTCTCACCTCACCACTATGTACATAATCTCTATAAAGAATGCACGAAAGCATATGGCATTCAACACTAGTTATTTGTTTCCTTGCTAGAACATAACTACTCAGTTTCTGGGGAAATAAAATGGGTAAGTATCATGTGATGTTTCTTTGCTTGAACATTCTACAAAGTACAGTGCTATTGTCCTCTCCTTTCTGCATTTCTCTGTTTTTAAGCAAGTTTCTGGCTTTATAGTGGCATTAGATATTTCCACACTTAACATTTATTTGAAGAATGTCTAAATGGAACATAAGAGTGGAAAAGTAGTTTATTAACAACTAATGAATCAGTTTGCCAGAAGGAAGATTTGCTTTGGGTTTTTTTGATAATTAATTGGTTGCTTTCTTCTTTGAGTAGGGAAATAGAATTTCACAAGTTCAAGCAACATTATAGTATTTGCTGCTTCCTCTCCCTTCCCTTTGTGGAGTCAAAATGGCTTTCCTACTGACAACTACAGGAAACTTACTACTAAATGTTGAGGAACTTATTTTTAAATTTGACTCTAGTATGCAGTTCAACACACAAACACTCACCTGTAGTTCAGTAAGCACAGTTTTATGCCTCTTATTACATTCTACTTTCTCTATTCGGGTTTTCAAGTCTGCCAGAGTCTTGTCAAATACAGCACACTGTAAAGCAGTAAGTTTTTCTTCTAACAGTCTCTGGATAACCTGCAAAATTAATACATGCCCACCCCCCCCAAAAAAAAAAAAAAAAAAAGAAAAAAGAAATATAACAATGCACTCCCAGAATCAAGGAGACCATCTATAAAAATGTTCTCAACTCTTAACAAGTATCCTGCTACAAAAAGGACAATGACAACGGTTGTGCCCTGCCAATCAAATAAATCTATAGTCACCAATAAGCATGCGGTTGCACAGCTAAGAAAAGTTTCTACATCTATTTCGGCAAATACAAATGGTGCCTCTGTCATTAATTCAAGAAATTAATTTCATTGTAGTACGGTAACTGTATAAAACCTTATTACATATAAAAAGAACCCTAACAACAGAAGACAGTTTCATAAAGTGCTGTGTTTACACAAATTAATCTTTTTTCCTCTTACTTTTCTGTTCTTGAGAGGGACATTGGCATTCAAACAACAGAAACTAAAGACATTCAACAAAACTTTATTTCCGAGATGCATTTTTCCCTAGTAGAAATGCCCTATGTTGCTTTTCTTGCAGAAGCTAAAAATGGAAAAAGACACTGATTTCCGCAAAGGTTATTTGTTACACTTGTTATTTAAATTTTTTCTCCCTCCTACACCTATTGCAATGCAAAAATTTTCCTTAGGAAACAAAAATAAACAAGCAAACATGGTTCAACATTAATGAAATTTTAACAGCCACTAGCTAACTAACTAATGGAAGAAATGCACAATTTTGTTTTTCTTCAAGAACATAGGTTTCTTTACACGCCAATGGTGCAATCAGGCAATTAACAGCTCTATAAAAACCTGCAAAATGCTATGTTGATTGCACTCGTTTGGAGACAGACTTTCTTTAAAGCTAAGCACACAAAGTACACCACATATAAACCTTTACCACACTGAAACACCTCCTTAGCTAAGATTCTCTATTTATAGTCACTTAAGAGTTTAAATATTTAATGCATTTCAGATATAATTCTTGCAGCAGTTTCCAAATGATATTTGATCTCTTCTTAAAAGTAGGGCTATACAGGACTTTATATGAAAAGCCACCTTTGTTATTTGAATTATGTCCAATTTGCAACCACAAAAAAGAGAGAATGTTTTGGAGGGGCAGGAAATGTGTGGGAAAGGATAGCTAATTCAAAGACAGTACGACAAGTGACTGATGTCTGTTTGCTATCTTTGCTCTGCACCTCCATACTACCTTTTGTAATTTTTGGTCAACATCCCTTCTGGCTGTAATTTTTACTTGGAGTTCTGCTTCATAATCTTCTCCCATGTACCGACGACGCTTAGAATGAACATTGTCCATGTCCTCAGATTTGGAACGCTTTCTCCTTGATGCTTCACCTGGAACAATTGGATACAACTGCTCGTGAGGAACTTTTGAAAAATGGCAGAATGCCATGATTCTTATGAAGTTTCATTTGTCCCCAGTTTCAGGGTGTCATCTTAAACCAGTAAAAACGCCTTTGGAAAAACAAGATGCTTGATGACATCAAAAGCAGTTCCTTTGGTCTCTGTACATTGCTGCCCTGTTAGTGAGTTCTGCTTTGTGATTTACCAAACCACTGTCCCAAACACAAGACAGCTCTAGTACCACCATTCCCTTCTCCAGAACTTGCCTCCAGTTCTTCCTGCTCCTATCAGCACCATCCTATAATGAAACATGGCTTCTGAGAAGCAAAACAAAACCCTCTTCTAAAAAAGGAATCCTCTTCTCAGGATTCCAGCCAAATAAAACTACATCTCATTCTGCCAGTATCAGCGATGAACTTTTTTTTCTGCCTGCCATTGAGTTTTAACCTGTACCTCCAAACCCTGGCTGAAAAAACATTCAAACCTTTTTCTTACTTCTTGGGTAAGAAGGAAAGTAAAAACCTAACAAAAGAACAGGCTCAAAGCAGAACTGTATTTTAAAAGTAATTTTCATCACAGCAATGAAGCACAAAAGTACCAAAAAGAGACCTCATTCACACCTCCAGCTTCTGGCACTGTATCCTCTAGAGATCCACGTATAAAACAAGTCTAGGTAAATTATCAGGAAGGGAAGCTACAGAGTGTACTATGGGTGGGTACCTGACCACCATCAAAACATCAAAGACCACAGGCCCAACCCCTCCACCCCAAACCTGAGGATGATTCAGAAAGACATAATGAAGATTCACTGGAGACTGAAACGGCGTAACAGTTACTTTCTATTGCCATTTTTTCTTTACTTTTATTACCTACACTCTGTGAGTTGTATTTCTAACTTCACAAATTTCTTATAATCTGATTTTTTTGAGTTAGATTTCTGATAGTTTCAGTCTGATCTGATTTCCTGATGGTTTCTGGGTTTGAGAGTTGCAATAGAAATGCACTAATGTACTAAAAATTATTAAAAGGTAGTATTTAAAAATCTGCATGACAACCTAGCTTATTTTTAAAAGTTTGTGAAAGCATAGGTCCTCAAATTTTAGGTAGGTTTTATAGGGCCACAGGGCTCTTCATAAACATTTGCAGAATGCTGAATATTTGCCAGCAATATAAATGTCTAAGGTATGAATTTGTCATGGTTTTTCTCAAAATAATAGTAAATAGTGGAAAATAAAGGAAAAAAAAAATTAAATAGCTACATCTCCAGTTTTCTTCCATCCATCAGAAAAACTTGTAGAAATAATAAATAAATAAATCGGAAGTTAGAACACTATTCCCAGACTACTGAAGACAAGTTTATTAGGATCTTCCAGACTCCTTCCTACTCCCAGTGAGTCTCTTCAGAAAAACCCTAGTCACTGAACAATACAACAAGTAGTTGTAACATGCAAGAGCTGCTTACATATTTAACAGAACATGTTTAATGTTCAGGTAGTTTGTTCTAAAGCAGATGTTACATCTAATTTTATTGCAGTTTGATTCTCTTTGAAGAACTTCAGGTTGCTTATTACTAGTGGAAAGGATATCTACAGGAGGCTGTGACTTCCAGGAAACCCTAGCAGCTTCTAATGAGCTCCATCTTGATCAAAGGGTGCTTTGCGCTTATGCTCCAGCTGATTCTTTATGGAGGTTGAAACACCCTTTCAGCAGGTACTAACTAGAGACCGACATTTTTGTTGGGCCTAGAGTGCAGCTCACAGAGGGCAGTTAAGAAACATAGGACTTTGCACAGCAGGGTGCACAGAAGGTGGTCATGGTCCCTGTGCTCAGTAATGGTGGTGATGTGCCACATGGTGTGGTCTCCAGCAGCCACTGGAACAACTCTCTCAGTAACATCTGAGCCTCCACCCAAACTGAGCTATTCTGGTGAAAGATATAGCTTTGCAAGTCTTGGGCTGCAAGGATTATGTAGGGCCCCCCATTCTGGTTGAAGCTATGACAGAGGTAGATGAGTTTCTTGGCTACAGAAGGTGCAAGCTAGTGGGAGAACTGTGTCACCAAGTTAAAAGGAGCTATGGGAGGTGGTCAGGGAACGGCACAGCATCAGAAATAATGAAAAACAGACTGACTGGATTTACTTCAAGATCCTGCAGCCTCAAGAACTGCAACCCCCAGCTGTACCAAAGGAGGTACAGCCAGAGCCTGAGCTTATCCAGCTGTGAAATGGAAACTCCCATGATAACAAAGGCTGGAAGCATGAGGACAGAAGCTCCTGCTCTGTCTGCAGATGTACAGGACAATGACAGAATCGGTTCAGTGCCCTCATAGCAGATAGGGGCTGTGAGCTGTGCCCACTGAAATGTCTGACCTGGTTAAGCCTGAGCCATCCAGTAGCATCACATACTAGTAGTGAGTGACTCCCTGCCTGCAGGGGGTGGAGACACCCATCTGCTAGGGACAGGTCACCCATGAGAAAGATAAAGGCACTGTGTGGCTGGGAATTGGGTTAGGAAAGCTGAAGGTCACCTTAAGCTGAATCTGGTGAGGGACCTGAAGGGCTACAAGAAGGGCTTCCACCAGTATACCAGCAGCAAAAGGCAAGCTAGGAGAAATACGTGCCCCCCTGCTGAATGAGGCAGGGGACCAAGTGACAAAGGACAAAGGAAAAGCCCAGGCACTCAATGCCTTCTTTGTCTCAGACTTTAATGAGACTATTTGTCTTCAGCAATGCCAGCTCCCTGAGACCAGTGGGACAGACTTGCTCTCAGTAGAGGAGCATTGAGTTAACATTTAAACAAACTGGACACACACAAGTCCATGCAAGCTAGAAGGATGCACTCATGAGTGGTGAGGGAGCTGGCTGAGGTGACTGCAAAGCCACTCTCAACCTCTGAAAGATTGTGGCAATAGCAGAAGGTTCTTGAGGACAGAAGTAATATTTGCTTTCTTCTAATCTTCAAGTAGGGCAAGAAGGATCCAGGGAATTACAGGACGGTCAGCCTGACCTCAATCCTTGGGAATGTGATGGAGCAAGTAATTCTAGAAATCATCTCTAAACATATTAGGAAGAAGGTAATGGGGAACAGTCAGCATGGATTTATCAAGGGGAAATCATGCTTCATCAGCCTGATAGCCTTCTATGATGAGACAATTGGCTTAGTGCATGAGGGGAGAGCAGTGGATACTGTTTCTCTTGTTTTCAGTAATGCTTTTGACACCCAAAACATCCTCAGAAATAAACGTATGATGTATGGCTTAGATAAATGGACTGGCTCAACCGCTGGGCCTCAAGAGCTGTGATTACTGGCACAAAGTCCATTTGAAGCTTGTCACTAGTAATGTACACCAGCAGATGATACCAGTACCAATACTAAGCATCTTCATTAATGACCTAGATAACGGGACAGAGGGCATCCTCAGCAATTTGCAGATGATACAAAACTGGAAGGAATGGTTGCTACACTCGATGGTTATGCTGCCATTTAGAGTGACCTTGACAAGCTGGAGAAATAGGCAAACAGGAACTTCATGAAGTTCAACAAAAGGAAATGCAAAGTCCTACACTTGGGTAGGAATAACCCCATGTACTAGTACAGGCTGGGAACTGACTGGCTGCAAAACAGCTTTGCAGAAAAGGCCTTGGTGGTCTTCATGCACAACAGGTTGAACATGAGCCAGCAATGTGTTCTGCTGGCAAAGGTGGCCAACAACACCCTTGGCTGCTTGAGGAAGAGTATCGCCAGCAGGTCGAGGGAGGCAATTATTCCCCTCTAATCAGCACTGTGAGACTGAACCTTGAGTCTTGTGTCCAGTTCTGGGCTTCTAAAAAGAAGAAAGATGTGAGCATACTGGAGAGAGTTCAGTGTAGGGCCACCAAGATGTTTTACAGACTGGAGCATGTCGTATGAGGAAATGACAGCTGGCAGTGTTCAATTTGAGAAGGCAGTCAGGGGATATTTTATAATGTGTGAATTATCTGATAGATGGAGAGTGAAAAAGACAGAGCAAGACTCTTGGTGAGTACCCATGAAAGGACAAAACAGATGCGAATTGAAATACAGGAAATTCCACTCAAACGTACCAAAACCTCTTTACTGTGAGGGTGGTCAAACATTGGAAGTGGAACATTGGAAGGCTGTGGAGTCTCCACCTGTGGAGATACTCAAAACCTGTCCGGACATCATTCTGAGCAAACTGCTCTAGTTGATCTGGTTTTGAGCAGAGCGTTTGGACTAGCTAATCTCCAAAGTTCCCTTCCAAGCTCAATGATTCTGTTTCTAACATGTGCCTCCAGTAAAGCATAATAGTTTTAACATTACATACTTCTCTCTGTGTGTTTCTCCTCTTCTTTGTGGGCCTCTTCTCCTTCTTTATCCCCCTCACTCTCCTTTCTTCTCTCCTCTTCCACCTCTTCTACAAACAGAAAAAAAAAAGCCCCATGTATTACTTACGCTGACCAGCAAAAGTCTACTAAGACTCCTATTGTGACTAACAAACTTAGAATACTTAAGAAAAACAATGCTGGGGAAGGTGAGAGAAATAAGGAGGACACAGAGGACATGCAGAGATGAAAAAAAGCAGGGGATACCTTCAGCGCAAAAATTTGAACTATCATACAACACAGTAAGATTCACTTCTGGATTTGCTTAGCTTTAAAATCAACAGAATGAAATTATGTATTTCTAATGTATGTAAGTTCTCAATAAATGATTTTAGTTTATTTTTCACCTAGGAAAAAAGTATAAAGGTTGCCATAACAAAATACTAATACATTTTTCTATTTATTTACAATTGGCAAACTCACCCATAACCTTTATGGTAGAAAAGGCCTAGATTATTATTTTCTTAACAAATATGAATTTTCATTTAAAGTTTCTTCCTAATACAAAGCATCACAATTCAAGAACATTACAAACATACAGTTTAGGAAATTCTTAAAGACAGAAAAATCTGAAATAACACCCCCAAAATGCACACAGATTAAAATGAAAGATACTAACACTTCCTTAAAACTTCTATCATATGTTCCATGAACTTCCATTGCGTGTTTCATATAGGCTGCATTTGCCACCTCCTGTGCTTGCCAGATACAACATAAAACTATTGCTTTTCAGATTGCATTAATAAATTCTTCAAAAACAATGTGATTTATTTTTGAGGTAATAAAATGGCATAGTGCCAATGTCACCTGCTTTTTAAGACTTACAGATAAGCTTCATATATTTAATTGTTATTAATAACAAAGGACTCATTTACTTAAGAATCTAAAGGAGATTCTTGTCCTGGTTTCAGCTAGGATAGTTAATTTTCTTCACAGAAGCTAGTGTGAGGATATGTCTTGGATTTGGGATGAGAAAATATTGATAATGTGCTGATGTTTTGAGTTGTTGCTAAGCTGTCAAGGACAGTCCAGCTTCTCATGCTGGCCTGCCAGCGAGAAGGCTGGGGGTGCACATGAAGCTGGGAGGGGGCACAGCCAGGACAGCTGACCCAAACTGGCCAAAGGGACATTTCATACCATATGATGTCATGCTCCATATATAAAGCTGGGACAAAGAAGAAGGAAGGGGTGGGGGGACGTTCGGAGTTACGCTGTCTGTCTTCCCAAGAAACCATTACACACAATGGAGCCCTGCTTTCCTGGAGATGGCTGAACACCTGCCTGCCCATGGGAAGTGGTGAACAGATTCCTTGTTTTGCTCTGCTTGCATGCACGGCTTTTGCTTTGCCTATTAAACTGTCTTTGTCTCAAGCCACGAATTTCCTCACTTTTACCCTTCCGATTCTCTCCCCTGCCCCACTGTGAAGGAGTAAGCAAGTGGCTACGTGCGGCTTAGTTGCTGGTTGGGGTTAAACCACGACATTGTTATCAATAAAATAGGCCTCATTTACCTAAGAATTTAAAGGAGTCTCATTAAGTTCAAAAGTGCTTTTCCCACAATTTAGATCTTAATATTCAACTGGAAGACAAAAAAATTCCATGGAAAGATATACATACCTAGAGTGTCTTCAAAATATCACATTACAATTTTCAAAGTTGATCTTTTCGAGTTCTATGTAGAGAACAATGTAATTTTAGGGACAAGGAAGTCCCTTCCTTACAAACTCCTGTCACTGTGTGAACAAATTTAGCTTGTTTGACTAAAAGTGCTTTAAACACAATGCCCAGCTAAACCTCTCTAGTTAAGAATGTTTGAACCATAATACAGAGATAATTTTTACAATTGGCTATCAGCTTATTTTTCACTGATAAGCTGTGATCTTGTTACGCTGATGCTAGACAGGCAGAAGCAATAAATGTAATCATTTAAAAAGATAATTTGATGGTATCATTAAGTTGTCACTATTTATCACACAGTCGTCTTAATAAGTTACACTATTTGCTGTGGATCTAAACACAAAGGTGGGGTTTTTTTTGTTTTTTACTAGGTGTTTGCCTATCACTAAACAGCTGAAAATACCTTATAATAATTTCTACAACTGCAAGCATTTAAATCTGCTTAGTAACTGACTGGATGCATATTTGGATGTCAGTTCTGCCAAAACATACATATAAATGGAAATAAAAATAATGAGTAAGCCTAAGAGTATCTGACCAGTATTTGCAAGTTACTCTGGACCGCATAGTCATACTCTCACTATTCCATAATCCTGTAACCACAACATTCTCCTTATAGATTGGTTAGAACTGATGTGCACAGGCAACAATCACAAGAAAGTACAAAAGCATAGCCTTTTCCTTTCTAAGTAGTGAATCCTTGATCAAACTCTACCCAAAAGTTATTATAAAACAGAAATACAGGTTTTTCCCATGAAACATGATAGGATTTGATTATTTATGTTTAGGAAGAAATCATAGATTCATTTATTTTCAAAGAAATCATCATGACCTAGACAAGCTGAAGAAATGGGATGACAAATGCTTTAAGATATTCAACAAGGACAAACACAAAAGTTCTGCACCTGGGAAGGGAGAACCCTTGCAATGACCCAGGCTAGGGCCCGCATGGTTGGGGAGTAGCTCTGCTTTGAGGACGCCCACAGACAGCAAGCAAAGCATGAGCCAACAGCATGCCCTGGCAGCAAAGGACGTCCACAGCATCCTGAGCTGCATTTACAGGAACAGAGCCAGTATATCATCAGAAGTGGTTATTGCCTTTTACTTGGCACTTGTTATGCCGTCTCTCTGTACAGAGCAAGAGACTGCTAAGGGTCTGGGAAACATGGCCTGTAAGAGAGGCTGAGGGAGCCGAGCCTGTTCAGCATGGAGAATAAAAAGCTTAATGGGGACTTAAAACCAGTTTTCCAATACCTGTAGAGTGGCTTTTGAGAAGAAGCAGCCATACTCATTGTAAAGGTGCATAGCAAAGGATAAGAGACAATATGTATAAGCAGAAACAAAGAGATTCCAACTGGTAGAAAGAAAAACATTTCCCACATGAAGAGAGTCATTGGAACAGGTTGCCCAGAGAGGTCATTCAGCATTCATCGGTGGAAGTTTTCAAGACCTAACTGGATAAACCTGAGCTACCTTGTCTAATTTCACAGCTGACTCTACTTCGAGCAGATGACTGGACTAGAGACCTCGAGGTCCCTCCCAACCTGAACGACTCTATTATTTGGTCACAACCCCTCCTCCCTATCAAAAAATGTAATTACAAAAATAAGTGATTCAAACACAAAGCACAATATTCTCTTCTTTAGTTATTTATTACCACAATTTAGTTTAAAAAAAAAAATCCATAAAGGACTTAAAGATTACAGATGATGAATTCAACATCCATTAATTGGCCCTCCAAAGCCTGTCGGACAGAAGCGTGCCTGATTTCAGGTTTGCAAAATCGAGTGGATCAAAAATGCAGCAGTTGTGTCTTTGTCTGCTACATTAAAGATGCCTCTTTCCACAATATATTCAGCTCCTGTTTAGTGATATTATAGACCTTCATCTTCTACTGAATGAACAAAACTTATGTTCTTTTAAGCTTTCCAGTACAAAATTTGTTTCCAAAATGCTGAAGTATTTTCTGCAGCAACTCTTTGAAAGCCTTCTATTATGACTTTTTGAAGTAAAAACCAGAACTAGAAATATTACTGCAGAGAAGCGGTCTCACCGGTGCCATTCAAGTGTAACTTATTTTCCTTTTTGCAAATTCAAGAATTTTCAAAGCTAGTTCTATCACAATACAGAAACAAAAGTTCACGTTTAGTTGTTTAATCTGCCATTCATATCCTCTGAAGTTCTCTTCAAACACTACTTTATACAAGACAAGCGGTGTTCTTTTAAATGTTAAATGCACTTTTTATTCTTAAAAGGTTGTACTTGGGTGTGCTGCTTGACTTCAGACTCCCTTAAAGATCAGTAACAAGTATGCTCTCTTTCGAACTATCTCTGGAGGGCATGAAATGCCATTGCTGTAGAGAAGCCTAGAACCAAGGTCTAGAATGCACTCAAAGTGCTAGCAATTCTGAGAATGAAAGACTTCAGATTTGCTTTGACAAACATCCTCACCTCGTCAAACTTGAGAGTATACATATTAGGTAAGAGAAAGAACATAGCAAGAGCAGCAATAGGGAAAACCAACAATTCACCTAATCCACGATCGTATCTCCCAACACTTTCATGTAAAAAGTAGATGATCAAGCAGGCAAGAATATAAGGAAGAGAACACAGTCCCAGAAAGCTTCCTCAGGTTTCTGAAAAATTGCTGGTGGATGACCTCCAGAGCCTTAGGGTTTCTGTGCTTGAGAAAAAAACTCCTCCTCCACAGAAGATGAATGTAGGTAAACTTTTAGCAGTCACAGTATTGCTAGCAAGGAGTTCCATAGTTCTCCACATGGAGAACCATCTTTTCTTCCATGCCTTGACCTTGCCTCTCACTTTTTTACCCTCCTCCACTTGATACATGTAGTTCTTGTAGAGGAAAAGACAGCAAATATTCATTTTCCACACCACTTACTCTTACTAAGATTTACAGATCTTTGTCACATCCCTCCTCCATCTCTTTTTCAGTCCATCCTTGTCTAAAAGTTCTCCCTGTGATCTAATTCAGAAAATGAAGAAGCTGTAGGAGAAGATGAGCTGGTTGTCTAGAATCAACAAAGAGGGGATAAACTACAACCCTGCAGAGATAAAAACCCAAGCCCCACAATGCAAGGAAACAGGGACAGCCAGAGGCTATATTCAAAATAGTAACAAATGGAGATTTTCAAAATGGAGGAGGAAAGAAGCCTGTGACTTCCAGCAACAGAATGAAGACTCCCTCTCTACCTGCAAATCTGCAGTTACTGAATAGGTAGAGCACTGATGGAACACATTAAGAGGAAAATCTTGTAATAAGGGAAGCATCAGAGCCAGCTGAGTCTGAACCAACCGCCTGCATAAGGACAGACTGGTGATAGTACCAGGGACTCCC